CTGACTTACGATCCTCCTATTACTAACCCGATTCACTACATATTGCAGATATACCAGGCCCGACCCTTTTATTTCGAATATAGACATTTATTTTTCGCATCAATATAATTTTACAATTTATTGTACTTATTTTTTAATTTCAGGTAAGTATTTTAATTATTTATAATTTATTTTATCTTATGCACATGTCTGACTTAAATTATTTTAGAATTTTATAGTTGTTCTTATTTTATCAATCCAACTCAATATAATGGTCTTCCATATGGCCGTTCTTACACTGGAGCATTTGTATCAAATATTAGCTTGACTTCTGAGACAGTTCCCGTGATTACGCTTTATATTTTAATCACAGATCCTAAATATAATGCTTCCAATCAAACATCCTCTATGTTGATGCAAGCCTATGATGCAGGCAAGATTCTTATAAATCAATAGTATGTTTTAATACTTTGAGTTTGATAATAATACAAAATACAAATGTGATTTAGAATATGATATATATAAAATTTTTCAAAATTCACAAAATACACCAACCCCATTTGAAGAATTAATTGCTTACAAAAATCAATATTATTTATCGAAGCCTAATAATGATGGATTTGTATGTATATTTTAAAAATTTGAAGTGTGATAAGTATTTTATAAATTTACTTATTTAAAAAATTTGTAGATTTATTATTGGAGATTTTATAGAGTTATAAGACAACCCATAAGTTCGTCATTTTTAGGTTATATTGGTTATTCATTGCACACCGATTATGGGAATCGACCTTATATTGAATCAGATATGCGTAAGAATACTTTTATTAAATTCTTTTTAATTTTATATTATACTAAAACTATTTAGCTATTTTAACTATAGAGGCTGTACCATTTCCGGATACTATTTTCCGTAGGAATATTTTATAAAAAATCATGCTTATTATTATTTGTATTGTTTATTTTTACCTTCTAACCTCCCATGTTGATTAATAATACAGAGCGTTTGAATGGAACTTATTATGTAGGGATACAGTTTACGATAGATAATCATATTTTTATAAGGAAAGAAATAGAACAAAGGTAAATGATCTTGAATGAATCCATTTTTTAATATTTATTACTACTTACAAATAATTTTACAAATAATGATAATAACGGGAGCAAATCTGTAAGTAATATACTATATATACATCTTAACGTTTTTAAGCAAAAAAATATTTATTATCATTTTAAATAAATAGATTTTCAGCTTACTGGGTATTATTGGTGGTATTTGGAGTTTCATGGCAGCCTTTTATGTATTTTTATTTGGTAGGTTGACCTTTTAAAATTAAATCACAACTATAGAATTAATTTACTAATCTATTGTTTTTTTTTTTTGTTTAATAAAATTAGGAAATGGCACAATTTATCCATGGGTTTTGTGCAAAGGTCAAGGCTGTTTAGAGAAAAATATAAAGAAAAATTCTCACCATTAGCCGTAGATTTACAATCTGATGATCCTGATATCGACGACACAATTAAAACCAAAGAATATGAGATTTCCTCAATTCAAAAACAACTTGATAATTTCGAAAAAAGGCTTAAATTCTATGAAAATATTATCGATAACTCAATATTAACTTTTAATAAGACAGATGCATCTCCTACTACTGGCAGCATTATGTCTCCCTGAGATAATATCATAAAAACCTTTAGGATATGGTAGCCGGACAAATTTGTCAATTACGTGTGATTTCAGATCTGATTACTGACAATCTTAATTACAAATTATTCATTAGAATAGCTGTGCGATGTTGTCGTGTTTAAACCAGGAACGTAATACAATTAGATGCTTTGTGAAAGTTAACAATTTAATTATTATTTTCAAATTTATGACTTTAATTATTAATGAAAATACATAAAAGAATAAATTTCAAATGGTGTAATTACTAAATTGTGCACTGTTAAGATCATTAACCCAGCCATGATTAAAATCATAAACTACTCACCGTTAAATTAATTATGTTAAACTTATCCATCGGTTGTTGAAATCGTATCATTGTCAAATCTGAAACTACACACTATTTAGATCACTAACACATCCAATATTGAAATCGTGAATATATACATAATTAAAATCATAAATCCACCACGACTAAAATTATTAACTTAACCTACTATTAAAATCATGAGCCTGCCCACTGTTGAAATTGCAATTCATATAAGATCACGAACCCACTCATTGTTAAAATCATGAGCATTCCGCTGCTGAAATTATCAATTCATCAACTAATATCCACTTACTCGTTGGAATCATTTAACTAGTTTATTATGTTTAAAGCATAGTATTGTTGTGACTGAAGTTGGGATCTGCCTGAAGTTGGAACTTCAGTTGACTGAAGTTGCACCTGACTGAAATTAGCCCCTGAA